CCAAATACTGATTCAGATTAACCCTTGCCACCTATGAAATCTACAACTTCACTGGGCAATGAAGAAACCTTTAACAAGCTCAAATCTGAGTCCAGGAACATACAAACAATTTCAGTGCTTCTCTCAACTTACCAAAAACACCCTCAAACCCAAGGATATACTTTCCAATCCTAACTGCAAAGATCAGATAAACTGCTCAACAGGGATTTTCAACTGAACAGTTATTCTTCTGGATTAAGGGACAAATTAACTTACTTTTGGGAATTCATGGTTGAATGCAACATTGAGTCAGGCAGTAGATTAGGGGTTTGAACCCCCACACCTCCATTCACTCCCATGGGATTTGCACCTAAATGGCAATAAAAAGGTAATCTTAAAATGCATGATTTATCACAACACTAAAAACTGTACTAAATCCTCCTCAGCATAGAGTCAACAAAAATACATTCAGGTCTCTTCAGAACTATCCATGTGTAATAGTGTGGCTTTCAAACATTTCCCCCTATTTAATACAGAATATTTTCCATTAGACCTGGAGTGGGCCAGATACAGCTGCTGTACAGAGCTGGTGTCGTGGGCCACAGCATGCAGCACATGCCCCATATGCCAGCTACCTGCATTGTGTGCAGTGCCTGGGGCGCAGAGCTCAGTCAGGGCACTGCATAGATCGGATCATAGGGTTCATTTGGGCCACAGGCCACATGTTCAACACCCCCACACTAGACAGTAGTGACACTTTTACAATTTGCCTGGAATTTTAATGCAGCAGCAACCAACATGGTTTTTGTTTACTTCCTTGTTTCTCCATTTCCTATTATAACTCAAGCCTATACACTTGAGTAGATTTCCTTTCCTGCCAGATGAAATTGTGCAAGTCAGTTTTGGAGTGACATTAGAGGAGGCACAGCCTGCATACAATTCTCAGTGTCAGTGCTCAGCAGGTGGAAGAATATGTTGCACAAACTTGACTGGCATTGTTAGGACAACAGATTGACTGTTAGAAGACTGCTCTGTCTTCCTCATCTTGGGGCCTATGGAGCAGAGTAATGAAGTGGCTGGCAGCTGCTTCTGGTTTCTTTCCCACAAAGAAAAGGCATAATCCATGTGTGCAAAGCATACACTGTTAACAGGTAAAAAGATGACTGATAGAGGCCCCCCCCCCCAGCCAACCCATTGTTACTAGGACTTTTGGGGGAGGAATATGTTCTGTATATTGACAACTCACTAAAGTGAGCTCTAGCTAAGGAATATTTCCAGAAACTGGGATGGGGGGTGGGGAAGGGACACAAGAAGATCAACATAAGGAGCCCAACCTTTGAAGCACGTGGTCCACAAGTTCCTTCACAAAACTAGTCTCCTTCACAACCAGGCACAAGTGTTTGCCTCTGATTGCAGAGCCCCAACTTTATTTTTCTTCACCCTCCCCACCAAAGGTTCACTCTCCTCTACCCCTACCATCAAGAAAGCCCATATCTTGATGCTTCCCAGGTTCAGCTATTATAACCCCCATTTTTGCTATTCCTCCTGCCCCTCACCCCCACCAATGCAATGAAGATCAGGGGGTAAGAGTGAAAAATTATTCTCTCCCTTTTTTGTACTGATTACATCAGTGGTTCTCAACTTGTTTTTTGTTGTTTTTTTTTTAAACATTTGATGGACTTTCCATAAAAAAGTTTCTAGAATTTAGTGGCACCTCCTTCCAAACTAAATTATTTATTACTGTGCCTCTGCACAGGCATGTACTTTCCCCTGCATGCACAGACACATGCACAGAGCCCTTTTGTAGCATGGGTACACCGGGCCCTGCTCCTTCAGACAAAGCTCCCTTCCCTTGCCCATGAAAGAGTGTGTACATACACCCTATACTGCAATCAGAGCCCTCTGCTTTGCCCTCCACTGCCAGCCAGGCTTTAATCAGTACATTGCTTGCAGTGGCATCCGAGAGATCCTTTTGAGACTGCTGTATTGGCTGCTACACTAGGATGTGAGGGAGGAAGCAGTCTAGACCCAACGAGCCCTGGTCACTCACTACCTACACTAGCTGCTGTTGCCACTATTATTGTCCCTGCTCTGCTGCTCCTGGACATGCTACCGATATGTATTTCCAGCCCTGACACAGGTGCCTGCCCCGTCAGGAATAGCAGCATCTTAAAATTCATCTCCAAGCTACTGCACTGCTTCCACAGACTCAGAAAGATCTAATGGCAACTGGGGTACGCAGCACCCTGGTTGAGAGCCACTTTATTATTACACACAATTCAAGCACCTCACTTTAATTAAGGAGTTTAAATACATTCCTCTTACACTGTCATACTGACTGCTTGTTTTGTCTTTACTTTCTCTGTGCCTTTTATATCACTCCTACTCTTGGGATGGTTTCCCAGTAAGACATATGCCAAGACCCCTTCCTCTTCAGTTTAAAATTAGGCAAATCCCAGAAAACATACTGAATGGAAACAACCAACACTAAAGCAGGGAGATGAATTAAATGGCACTGCTTTTTTTTATATATACATTTAAGATTCACCTTGTGACATTTCATGATTAACTTCTGAAAAATCCACTAGTTCCAGAAAGCACACCAGCTAATAAAAACATACCATGTTTTTCCACTGTCACACCAACTCCCTTGAAACTAAGCCCTGAAATCGGTTTGTTTCATTTAACATTCCCTACACATTGAAGCACTCAGTAGCAGTAATTATAAGTAGTTTAAACTTTACATATAATATCAATGTCTAATGCCTGTGGGCCATGGTTGGAACAACAGTTGGACAACTGAAGCCACCAAAGAGTGGAAAATGGCTTCAATATTTCCTTTATCAGTTCTAACAGGAACACTGCTTCAAAATATTTCAAGGTCTCTCCAGCAATACAATACTAAGCTATGTCAAACAATTGCCAAGGTTTCAGTTGAAAGTAATTTCCTTCAGGAATAAGGGCTGCTTTACAGGCGTAAAAAAAAACAAACGGTGCTAAGTGTGCCCCTGTGCTGAGCCCAGAAGAGGCATCGTGTTAGATGTACCTAGATCACCCAATCTCTGTATAGACTGGGCGCTTTAGTAGGGCTTTTTTGGCACTTTCATATAATCACTGATTGAATCAGCTTTAGATAAAAGTGCCAAAGCACCCACTGAAATAGGCCTGTGCAGAGCAGCTAGTATTCACTTTGGATTCGGCCGACTTGGGGGACAGTGATTCAATTCAGTGATTCAAATCACTATCCTGATTTGATTCGGCCTAAACTGATTCAGCGATTCGGCAGCAGCCAAATCTCCGAATCAGCCAGGCCTATCCCGACAATGGCTGCCCGTCCACCCCAGCTCCCAGCACTTGGGGGGGAGAAAAAGCCCCAGTTCCGCAGGTCCTGCCAAGCATGGGGCAATCTGCACAAGCCCCTGAACCCTCTCCCCTTTCCCTCTGGGTGCCCTGCACAGGCCAGCTCTGGCCCTTAAAAAAAAAAAAAAAAACAAAAAAAAA